TTATTCACCCACCATATATACGCAGAGTCCACAGTGGTTCGGGTTGAAAACGACCGAGAACAGCTCTTGCATTTCCATGCGATTTAGAGAGAGGAAGTTCCTCCCACGACCCCATATAAAAGAGGACGTAGTATGAATGAATAGAGTTGTCTTCGTTTCCCAATGGTCTGAGAAAACTTTGCCAAGCTTGGGCCATTGATCACCAACGTATCCCGCTCGCAGGGATCGACAAAAATTGGCCTGTAAGTATACTTCGTCCTTCACACCCCTTAGGCACACACCGCTCGGACACTCCCAGTGCACACATTGATATAGTTCATCTCAAATGGTGCGGATGAAAAATAGTATTACAGATTACACACCAAGTAACCCTTCATGTTGTTGAAGTCGTCTTACCTGTACCGTACAACCGTGCAATCACCAACCGGCATTCTGCGGACTCATAGGTGTCGGACTTGGTATACTCTGAGGCATTACCGAGCCAACGCCGGATGTTATCGGTGTTTTGGCTGAGAAAAAGGCATTGAGTATCGATAGAGAAAAGTCACAGCATAAGAAAAGGATCTAGGGTCAATGAAGACATACCTCCTACACGTTCATCGACGCCATATCCGTCCGGCTTGCGCCATTCCACCTTCTCCACCTTAACATCTCCGTCTATGAACTGATACACATATGTCACCACGACCGTTCCTTGTATATCCAACAATGCGAAACTTGGTATAGGATCACCGTGGGGGCCTGCCGCCTTGACTCCCTCGTTGGATGAGACGGCAAAACCCGGTTTGGAGCTATTCCAAGCACCAGTCCAAGCACCTGTTGCCGTCCCAGGGTTCAAGAAGAACCTTCCGTCGTACTCGACTGCCTGCACAGCGTGTGTCGCGCCGGAAACAAGAAAGTCAACATCCATTTGACGCGCAATCGCGGAGAGAGCGTCGAGTGAGCCCAGAGGAAGCGATTGGTGGCCGTGTATTAAACCAATTCGCAGGGAGTTGTTTGAGTGTGTTACCGTCAACGATGACGGAAGGCCTGGAAGCTGCAGTTGGGGTAGCTCGAGTGAGGTACAGTGCTATCTTCAGAGAACATACCTCATCGTAATCTCCTCTCACAACTTGTATCTCCGCTCCTCCAACTATTGACCTCAGATATTCCATAGTTTCTCTATCACAAACATTTCCTGTGCAAAGGACCTGGGATATTTTCCCAGGCGCCAGTAGTTTCTTGAACTTGTGTGGGAGATCATGAATTCGATGCGGAATGTGTAAATCGCCAACGACGAGGACAAGAACCATGATTTAACTTGAATGGGGAAGCAGTAGGATTATATCATTATTTCATTTATCGCATGGCCACGTGGAATAAGACCTAGCCACGCCGTCGCGTGCTCTTTGGGACAGCTTTCCAAACTTTTACATGCCATTTCGGAATTCAAGTTCAACGTTCACTTCATAGTATTCATGTAGTATTACAATATTCTCTCCAGTACTTAGTGGGTCGACGTCCTGCTTCAGCTGCAACTAGAACAGATATGCAACCCTACAGCTGGATAATGACGGAAGGGAATTAGTAAACTAAGGTCAGGTTAACTCAACTCGAAAATAAATACCGTCCTCTCTTGATATCGAAAGACATCTTTATCTGTATCCGATTTCTCCAATTCACCGTAGACCCCCTTGAACACACTTTCCCCAGCTATTCCTTTAGCGACTACCCTGGATATCCAACGAGTTGGATCGACTACTTCAAAGGACGCCGTCGACCCACTGTATTGATGACTAGCCATACCATCCAAAGAGGCATACGGGTAGTTTTCGAAAGTGAACTCGACGATCTTTGCAAGTTCGCGTTGAAGATCTTCGTGGTCTGGGTTGTCAAAGCGGAGAGACTGCGGGATGGTGACACCCAATTTGGCCAAGGCGGGTTTCTGAAGTATGATTTTCGTCACATAATGTTCTGCTGATTTGCTGGTGTATTTGTCGAATTTGGCAGGTTTTCCTGTGGAAGTAGGGTAGGTGATCTTGAACTCTTTGGGAGCTTCCTGTGCTCGTGTGCGTATGGTGTCAGACCGGGGATCTACTGTAAGGTTCGTGTCGGCCTGCAGGAAATCCAAACAGATTGTTCAACCATCCACTAGAGTCTGCCGAAAAAAAATAACAAGACATACATTGGGGACAAAAGGAATAGCACGACAAGTAGCGGCGAGAATTCCCCAAACTAAAAAGACAGAAACTCTGCGAAGATACATTGGCGATCGCGACGAATGAACAGTGAAGTTGACTTGGGTAAACTTTCGAACATCAGCTGGGGTCATTTCGAGTACAACCGAGAAGGCTGACCTACTCGAATTTTTTTTGATAAGTCGTCCAGCGAGCTTGCAGCGAGCAGTAAGAAAAAGGAAAGAATTTCAACGTCTAAACCTGCAGCGTTGTAAAATCTGCAGGGCTTCTACGAGGGGGCGTCCTTTATATACCCCAGTGCGTGGTGCAAATAATCTTGATCGCAATCAATGCATCAATGACATGCCCGACGCGGGGCCGACCCCGCAGCTACTCAGCTTGCTCGTTCCTAGTTCCTATTTCTTCATAATTCCTTCCTCTATTTCTCCCTCGTATTGTCCCAATCGTTTTCATGTATATGTCGCCATAGACGGCTTCCGAACCAAGCTGTTTTTTCGTGTAACCTTGTGTAATTTGAATCTGATTGCAAATTTACAGACCTTCATCAGATCAGCGTTCAAACGTTCAACCATCATACCAGAAGATTCTATCGATGCGGCTGCAACCTTCTGTTACATAGAGAACTTTGAAGCCGCACTGAACATATGTAGGGTGACACCCAAGTGTCGAGTTCAAGAATAATCATCGCCAAAGGAGGAGACTCTGTAAAAAAAAACCTACAAATACTAAAGGATAACACTGATCATGAATTTTTGGTTCACCGCATACGGGTACCGGGATCAATAGGGATCACTATCAGGCCACGTGAAATCCTTTTTGAAATATAGCTAATTACCGTTCAGGGGTCCCCAAGGGACTGCGAGACTTTTCTTGGTCAACTTTCCTTGGAAAGAGGTGTGAGAAATTATTGAATCAGCCACTATCTGTGTTAAGAGGAGGAGAGGAGGTGGAGTATGTAGTACTGTTGCCTGTAGGCGTCGGTGGTGGAGTAGGGTGTAGTCGAGATCGCGGTGTCTCAATGTGCACGTCCTGGTAGGTCCTGGTATGTCGCATCCGCTGCCGCCACTATCAAGCTGTAGTAGTGTGGCTGGATATTCACCTTTATGTATCGATATCCATCAACGACTCTCTCTTGCCGCAAACATGTACATACCCCTTTCTGAGTTTCTCAATCATATAATGCATAATGCATATACTCAGTACTGTAATGTCTGAAGTTTGAACCATGACGACAAGATTCCTGACACAACAAGCGCCCCTAAACATCCCACGCCCTCGTTCCGAAATTCACCGCCGGCGCTTCTCTCAACTTTCGCCTGACTTTTAGCTAATAGCAGCATTCCGTCAAAAAGCATTTGCAAACGCTGTTGCAAACGATGAGCTCGCTAACATCCTTCTTTTCCTCGTTCCTCCCGACTATCCAAGCCGAGGCTCCAGCGGAGGAAAAACCTGCAGACGAGGTTAAAGAGTCTGAGGAGGAGGAGGAGAAAGAGGAGGAGGAAGAAGAAGAAGAAGAACCTGAAGATGTATGTGTGTTCTTTACATTGACACCCTTTTTCCCTTCATATCTCTCTCTCTCTGTTCTATAACCTACTCAATACACGACCCCCACCCCACGCCTTTCCCTCCAACAAACCTCACTCATCATTCTGATTGACCTTCTTCCAACTTTTCCTTCTTTTCAACTTTCCTTCTTCTCAACTTTTCCTTCTTTCCAACGTTTTCCTTCTTTCCAACGTTTTCCTTCTTTCCAACTTTTCCTTCTTTCCAACGTTTTCACATTTTCCAACTTTTGCCTTCCCAGTCCCACCCCGCCATCCGCGACGAATGCCAAAACTCCGCCAAATGCGCGCCGATGTTAAAGCACTTTGAGCACTGTCAAGAAAAAGTCCAAGCCGGGGAGGGCTTCAAAGGAGAGGATTGTGTAGAGGAAATGTACGTGTGTGTGTTTTGTGTGGATGACCGCAGCGCGACTCTTTTTTTTTCTTAACTTGAGTAATTCATGGTGGAGCTGACTGATTGTGATTTGTTGTTGTTGTTGTTGTTGTTTCTATAGGTGTACGTGCCGATGTTGTTTCTCTCCTTTTGTATTTGTCGAAACAGCCGTTCTGACTTTTTCCGGATGACTTGTTTCCTCCTCCCTTATATATATGCTTATGCTCGTATCGCGTCTCGGTTTTGTCCAACTCCTTGCGCGCCCCCATCAGTCCAGTACGTCCGCTCCCTGCGTATATCTTATATCCCCTTGGTACTCATCTCAGCCTTCCTTCCTTCCTACTACCTTTCCCTTCCTCCCTTTTCTCTCTCTCTCTCTCCTTCCTTCCTTCCCTTCACCCACTCAGCATGATGCACTGCGCCGAAGAATGCGCCGCACCCAAACTCTTCGCTCAACTCAAATGATCAATCACTTTTTCGACGGAATCTTTGTCGCGGTACGCAAGGGGAAGGTGGGGGTTGGGAAGTTGTTGGTATGATGTATGCTGTATGCTGTATGCAGTATGGTGTTGAGCTGTTGAGCCGTGCTTTCCATAGGAGCGCTCGAATTCCCAGACCCCCCTAGTACATGTACATGGTACACAAGAAGTCGTCCGTCGTCCGTCCCGTATTGCACAAAAAAAAATGAATTTTATTATGTAGAAGAAGAAGAAGAAGAGTCTTCACGTTTTTGGTATCGTAACTAACACATGGTTATGGTTACATGTTTCAGGCTGGTTGGGGGCGATAATTCTCATCTCATCCCGACAATCGCAAGTTTTCTTGAGTCTGTTGATGCAAGAACGCAAAAAAAAAAAACAAAACAAAACGTGAAACAGATAATAGGAATTCCAATGCGGGGAATCGAACCCCGGGCTGCTGTGCGAATTCATTCTGGTGTGAAAGACAGCAATGTTGGCCACTACACCACATTGGAGTTGTGTGGTAGATAAAAAGCGAGATTGATAGTAGTCTCTTATCAGGATGCATTGCCTCCTAACTAGATCCGTGTATACATATAAGGGATCAAGACGACTTTGATTACCAACAAACATGGCGCCCAGTGAATACTCGCTTCGATTGCAGAAAGGTATCGACAACGATCTAATTAGAGTGCTCTGGTACTCACTGTGTATTTCCCAGGGATAACCGGCGGATTCGCGCCACCCACGCCTTCGTTCGTCGCAACGATCACCCGCCCAGTCGATTCCGACTCGCTCAACATCACCTCAGCCTCCCGACCCGATGGAACGCCCGATCTCCAGAGTTTCGCTCCCAAGACACTGGCGTTGGGTACAGTCGAGGTGACTGCGTTGGGCTCTGTGTCGGTGGAAGGGCTTATCGACGAGCTTCATGGGATATTGAAAGAGCTGCCGACGGAGGAGCCGGCTGGATCGGAAGACATCTATGGATTGGATACTAGTATTTTTTGGGGAAGTGAGGATTTGCAGTGGATGAATGGGGGGATGGGGGGTGTTACTGGGCAACCGGGGTGTGTACTATCTAAATCTAGTATATCTATATCTAATCTAATCTTTATCTATAGCTCGAGCACTGTCCAAGCCACACCAGAGCAGAAAGCACAATTCAAACGGGCGGTGGAGATCGTAGAAGCTCTCGTTGGAGAAGCCAAGTGATAGTAGTATGTAGTAGTAGTGTGTGACGCGTCTGCGCCACTCCTGACGTCATCACTCCAATGAACCACTTATAAACGGTGTTAACCCATACCAGCCTTGTCATTACCATGTCTTCAACTACCCCAGCCTACCCGCCCTCGGCGCGTTTATCCAGAAAAGCTTCGTCACCAATAATGCCTATCGTTACACAGCCCTCAGTGACTCATTCCATGTCGGTGGCCAGCCCAGAGGTGCGAAATGAACCAGTGCAGAGATTGAGGGGTGGATGTATACCTTGTCCCGTGAGTTGCTGCCTTTTGTCAGTTGCTATGTGCTCACATCGTTGTAGGATGGCGGATGTTGCTTCATTATCCCGTGTTGCATCTGAGAGCATTGATATTCACCCATGCACGATATCTTTCTTGCTTATGTTTCTTATGTTCACGGACTATGGACTAGTTGTATCTTACTGTAATCAAGTTTGTTTGACCGCTTGCTATTGTAAATGCATGTTTTAGCTTGTTTGATTTGAATTCCTTGCCCCCCCCATCTACTTTAATAATCATCTACACCCGTCATTTGTTGTCATGGAACGTTTCTGGAACTACATCGTAAGAAGCTGCTCTCGGATTGCGCTCAACAAAAGCTTTTAGCCTTGGTCAATCTATCCAGTCGTCCTGAACGCTGCGGTAGAATTCTTACAAACGGACCAGAGCGTCCCGGCTTCTACAAGCAGTGCCAAAAAACTAAAAGTCGAACATCGGCACAATCCCTGATCGGATGCTTATCAGTGGAGACGAAAAACTCGTGTCAAGCAGCGGTGATTAATCGATGAACTGAACATACTTTCCAAAAGCGCAATTCCTCCGAGTCTTTGTACAATTTTCCTCACTACTTGTATTTTTTCTCAATGCCTTTTCTGTGTGTGGAATCCCAGATATCGAGATGCATATCATTTATGAACAATTGCACTGCATCAACCGCAAATCATCGCTCGCCCACGCGTCGTTTAGAGCGCTCTTCAAACTCCAGGCGCTGTGTTTCGTCAACACAATTCATTTTTTTTCTGGTTAGGGGTGCAGGATGGTGACAGACCGTCGACCGGGTTGGTATATAAAGTGATTAAGTAGTGGGGTCCTTTTGTCTGTTCCCTTACCCTTTTACCCTCTGGAGTCCTTTATTGCGTACCCGACCATGGTCCCTTCTTCATCGTGGCGTTATACACTGCGAGTGATACTTTCACTCGCTTCTATCGCAGTCTCCTACGGTGCCTCTATCACTCCCAACTCCCGTGCACCCAACTCCCGCGCAAATCCCATGTCCGTCCACGATCGTCGGTCCGCCGTGCCCAAAGGCTACACCCCCGTCTCCATCGCGGATTTCAACTCGATGATCCAGATGCGCATCAGTCTCACCATGGGGAACAGATCCGGGCTGGAGGACGCGTTGAACAAGGCTAGTGATCCGGAAGGTGAGGCGTATGGGAGGTGGTTGAGTAGGGAAGATGTCAGTACCTTGACGAATCGGTTCTTTATTTTATCTCACTTTCATTTCACCTTCCCCCAGGTCCAATACTACGCCGCCCCCTCCCGGGACGCCCTCTACTCCGTCCGCACATGGCTCGCCTCCAACGATATCACCCCGGACTCCACCACGGTCTCCGGGGACTGGATCAAATTCAACGTGTCGGTGGGGACGGCGAATTCCATGCTGAACGCGACGTATGGTGTGTATGAACACACGGCGAGCGGGAAGCAGTCGGTGCGGACGTTGGAGTATAGCGTGCCGCAGGAGCTGGGGGAGCATATTAGGGCGATATATCCGACGACTTCGTGAGTTGGGGGTGTAACGTTTAACCTTGATACCCTAACTCGTACTCATACTCATACTCCTTGGTACACAGATTCTACCACTCCGCTGGTCCCAGGGTCATCTCCCTCAGTGGACATCACAAATCCAGTACACCTCAAGCGGATGTCGACAACAAAGCCTCATCCTCATCCTCAACCTCCTCTTCGAGCGCAGCACTCCCCACCTCCACAGCAAGTTTCTCGAAATGCAACGACACCATCACCCCAGCGTGTCTCCAAACTCTGTATGGCCTTCCCACAGGGGTGATTAAGACGACGAATAGTACTATCGGAGGTGCGTACATTGCTGGGTTCGATGAGTTTTGATCTGGAATTCACTGTATCGCAGTCTCGGCTTTTTCGGGACAAGACGCTAACAAGGTTCGTCGCATTCTCCCTCACCACCCCTTGCGTTTATTTAACGATAATGTGTAATGTGCAACGTACAACGTACAGGCCGACCTAGCGAGTTTCCTGAAACTCTTCCGCCCAGATCTCGCGTCGGACACGTTCGCCACGCAGCTCCTCGACAACGCGACGAATAGTCAGGTTGTGTCGGATTCTGGGATCGAGGCGGTGAGTGTTTACGTTTGGGCTTTCGGTTTTCTGTGATCAGGATCCCGGGGTTTCGTTTCGGTGTCTGCGTTGGTCGATGGTGGTTCTGAACACTGAATACCCGAATTCTGAATCGTGTTTTTTTATTATTATTTATTTATTTATTTATTTATTACTCTTTTTTTCGAACGCAGGACTTGGACATCCAGTACACAGTTGGGCTGGCGAACGGGATCCCAACGACTTTTGTTGATGTGGGTGATGACACACACGATGGAGACGACGGGGGGTTCCTTGATATTGTGAATGATTTGTTGGCGGAAACGAATCCCCCGTTGGTGTTGACGACGAGTTATGGAGTCGCGGGAGATGAGAGTGGGTTGTCGAGGGAGTTGACTTTGTATGTTGTGTGTTTTTCTTTGGTTCCGGTGTTCAAGGTTTTGATTCGTTTGTTTGTTTGTTTTTTTTACTTTTACTTTGGATTGATAGTGCCATGTGCGACGCGTTCATGAAACTCACCGCACGCGGGGTAACGATTCTATACGCCACCGGAGACGGCGGGGTCGCCTCCTCCCCAGGAGAAGATTGTGATAACGAGCCATTCCTCGCCGCCTGGCCGACTTGCCCATAGTAAGCCCTCCCCTCCTCTTTTCGAAAACAACCCCCAAATCACATACATAACCCTAACCACCACGTTCAACGTTCAACAGCGCAACCCTCGTCGGCGCCACCGCCAACATCCCCGAAAAAGGCGCCGCCCTCTCCGCGGGGGGGTTCTCCAACTACTTCACCCCCCCGTCGTGGCAGCAGCCCGCCGTCGCGACGTACCTCGCCGCCATCGGGGATGACCTGTACAAAGGCAGATTCAACCGCTCCGGGCGCGGGTTCCCGGACGTCTCGGCGCAGGGGGATAAGATCCAGATCGTGCAGGCTGGGGCGGTGACGCCGGTGGCGGGGACGTCGGCGTCGTCACCGATTTTCGCGGCGGTGGTGGCGTTGTTGAATGATGAGTTGCTGGGGAAGGGGAGGGGACCGATGGGGTTTATGAATCCGTGGATATATGCGCATGCGGAGGCGTTTAATGATATTACAGATGGTGCGTAGTTCGATTCAAGCTTTGATTGCTCCGCACGCAAGTATGTATGTACATACATATATATATGCTCACCGTTCCATTTTAACAGGAAGCAATCCCGGGTGTGGGACGGATGGGTTTCCGGCTCTTAAAGGTACGGGTGGTTGTTCATTCTTATCTACTGTGTCTTGTGTATATCTATGTATATCATATTCATATCCATATTCTCTAGGTTGGGATCCAGTCACTGGAGTCGGGTCACCTAATTATCAGGCGATGAGGAAAGCTTTGGGGCTGTCGTGATCCTTCGTTGATGGAGTGATTTCTTCGTTGATGGAGTGATTTATGTAGTACATGTCCAGATCCTTAGAGATCTGAACGTTGAACCAGTGAACGTCGTTGAAAGACGTTGAACTGCTTGCTTTGCTCTGCTTTGCTTGATTTTTTTTACATACGGACATTTCATACGTATTCAATAATGGGTATATACATGAATATATTCAGGACTTTGTGTTAAGCCTGTGTAGATAATTGTGCGATTTCCATAGCCCGACGATGACATGCCCTATGTACTGGATGCGCCCCTGTGCGTCTTTACATCCTGAGCAGTAGTAAGCGGGAATAAAAGTCATGATTAGCAAATCGCTATTACGAGCGTCAAATCAAAATTAAATTAAGTAGCTCGGGCTCATATTTTACAAAGCGCGCTTCGCTTTCCGCCTCCACTCTGTCACATAACACCGGCTGCAGGTTCTCCGCATCCTAGCCCCACCAATGGCGCCGAAAAGCACCTCTCCGTCGTCCGTATTCAAGAAACGAACTTCGCCGTCGCCTCTGACGT